AGCCGCCCGCGGCCGAGGAGAACGGCTCCCTGCCGCCCGGGGACGCGGCCGCCTCGGCACCCCTCGGGGGGCGCGCGGAGATCCAGCCGCTGCCCCCGCTGCCTCCCGGCGGCGGCGGCGCGCACTCGGGCTGCTGTGCGCCCGCGGCCGCCCCGAGCCTCCTGTTGCTGGACTACGACGGGTCGGTGCTGCCCTTCCTCGGGGGCCTGGGCGGGGGCTACCAGCGCATCCTCGTGCTGCTCACCTGGGTCCCCGCTCTGTTCATCGGCTTCAGCCAGTTCTCGGACTCCTTCCTCCTGGACCAGCCCAACTTCTGGTGCCGCGGGGCCGGCAAAGGCTCCGAGCTGGCGGGGGCCACCGTGACCGGCCGGTGGGGCGACCTGGGCAACGGGACCAGCCCCCCGCCCACCCCCTTCTCCACTGCCGCCTGGGCGGCCGCTGCCAACGGAAGCAACAGCAGCGGCGCGGCCGGGGGCGACACGCCACCCCTCCCGTCCCCTCCGGACAAGGGCGACAACGCCTCCAACTGCGACTGCCACGCGTGGGACTACGGCATCCGCACCGGCCTCGTCCAGAACGTGGTCACCAAGGTGAGGGCAGCGAGCGCCCCGTCCCCGTTCTCGGGAGCCCTGTTTCCCCTCCGTCGCCTCCACCCTCCCTCCGGCCCTCTCTTGCGAAGGAGGTTCCAGCCAGAGCCTGAGGGGACCTGCAGTCCCCGGAGTGGCGCTGGTCTGTGTGTACATGCGCCCCATCCCGCAGCGGCTGCGTCCCCTCTGTCCCACGGGCAGATGCGGTCCCTGGGGCCGGAGCTGGGCCGCCGCATCCCGCGTCCGAGGGGCGCCTCAGCTGTCCTTACCCACACTCCAACTCCAGTCCCGGTGCGGGCTGGAGAGCGCGCCCCTCCCCCGCCCTGCCCACCCAGAAGGTGAGGCCCTGCCCTGTCACCAGCGCCCCAGGACTGCGGTTAGAGCCAGGTTCCTGGCTGTGTCCCCTCGTCTCCCACAAAGAAGCGTCTATCCATGAAAAATAGTGTCCTGTCCTCACCTGTTCCTCTATCTGGCGACCTCAGCCACCCCTCACTGGGTTTGGACAGAGACTAAAGCCCACTAGTGAGCAGAAGTCCCAAGCAGAGGGCAAAGAGCTTCTGAAAATGCCCTTCCGCCCCACAAGCCCTCCCACCTCCACCTGGTTTAGTCCTCTCCAAAGAGCCTTCTGCCTTTGCCCCCAGGTGTGCCTCCCAGCGCCTTCTCAGGACTTTAGTAAACACGCTGGGGTACAGGAAGGGTGCTGGGAAGAGTCCAGGGCCGCAGCTGTTCTTGTGCAGCGGCTGCTGTGGGCCAAGGTTTGGAGACCGGAAAGATGTCCCCGGGCGTCCACTTGCCCTGTGCTGCAGTAGAGTGCTGCTGAGACGCTGTCGGCCTAAAAACAGACAGGCAGCGCTGCAGGTCGCTGCTCAGAGCCTACCATGTTCTGATTTTCTTCCCATAGGAGAGGTAGTATGGCAACTCCTCACGTTATTTGTGCACCGATTTTTGTGGGGGTTTTGCCCCTTCTGTAATTTTAAATAATGCAGAAGGAGATGTAGACTCCCCCAGCCCCGACTGCCAGGCAGTTCTGGGCAGTGTTAAATGCTTTGTCTCCATGTGAGAATGGAACCCAAGGCTTATCGTGGTCAATGGGCCCTCAGTGCCCTCCCCCACACGTGTCAGTAAACAGTTGTAGCTCATGGATGTGTAAGACGAAAGTCTTACATCATCGCAACCATTGTCTTAGTCCTGCACCAACCTGGCCAGAAGCGTCGCGTCCTGTGGGAATTGCCTCGCCCAGCTGTCCCGGCTGCTCTGCTAGGTCATGGGAGACATCCCTGCAGCTGGGGTCTCCTCCACCTTCCCCCACAGCCTCTCTTCTCCAAAGGTCTTTCTGTGACTGATTCCCATTTATAGAAAGCATGAATATTTCTTTTTTTCTTTTCTTTCTTTCTTTCTTTCTTTCTTTCTTCCTTTCTTTCTTTCTTTTTTTTTTTTTTTTAGCAGCATACAAAAATGTGTATCTGTCAGATTCAG